ACATGTAAAAAGAAAACTGGACACAGTCTGGACATCCATCAATAGAGGGATTATTAAACTATGGAATGTTATGAATTGGGTTACACTCTATGTACCAAGAAGGAAATATGTCTCAGATATATATTGTGAGGTGAAAGAATCAAGTTGTCGGATGTTATTACCATTTATGTTTTAAAAAATGTGAAAATCACACAACATACCTATTTTGCTATCTGTAAATATGCGTGTAGGCAAATGCAGGGGGAATAAGAAATGCATTTGTCTGTAAGAAAATATAGCACATATAGTGTAGTAGTTAACTTAGGGTGGCTGATGAGGGCACAAGCAGGGTTTTCACTATACTTACTATTTCATTTTTATATATTGAGAAAAGTACAAAAAAATCATGCATGGGAGGGTAGAGTCCTTCAACCTGGTCTGCACCCTCTCCAATCCAGGACCTTTAGGGGATGTCTGACTGCCTCTCAATATCCAGGACTGCTGGCACCTAGCCATTTGCCTGCCTGCCTGCCTGATTACCTATAACCCCTTGCCTGCCTGCCTGATTGCCCCTAACTACCTCTGCTTGCCTGCCTGATGTCCCCTAACTGCTCCACTACTGGCCTCATAACCCCTCACTGCTTGGCCTGATCATCCCTAACTGCCTCTGCCTCTCCCTGCACCAAGTATCCAGGATTCCTTCCTCGAGGTGGTTGCAAGAACCCAGTACCCAGACTTCCCTCCCTCTGGCCAGCCACAGGCACTCAGGATCGAGGCTGGCTTCTCCCAGACCTGCTGCAGCCACAGGCACTGGCCCCTAGCACCGCAGCGCAGATGGCTTGTCCCTCTACAAGGCAGGGCTGTGGGCAAAGGCTCAGAGGCTGGTGCCCTGGACCATGGGGCATGGGGTTTGTCCCTCTTTGGGGCCAGGTCGCAGGCATAGGCGCAACCACTCGTGCCCGGGATGGTGGGGTGTGTAGCTTGTCCCGCTCATTCGCTGCAGCCCCAGCCTTTGGTGCCCAGGACCACGGGCAGCTTTATTCCCTAATGGGCCGCAGCCCAGGTGGTTCCCATTCCTCTCTCCCCAGTGATGAGTTTCTGAGCTGTTACTGGTGGGACAGTGTGATGATCATTTGCATATTAGCTCTTTATTATATAGAATAATCATGTATTACTTGTTATAATGGTAAATAAGTTTAAATTGACACTGAATTTAAAGAGAGGCTACCAAATTAATTTTTAAAATAAACAGAATTGCAATCTATAGATGTTGATTTGGGATACGGAGGGGGAAATACCTTTCCTCAGAGCTACTGACTCAAAATTCTGGACCAAGAAGGATTTTAAAATACAGTTATTTTTTAAAATTCATTTTTGGAGTGAATATACTTACAGTTTCTCAACCAAATGGTATGACTTCCATGTATCTTTATCGATGTCTGAAATATCATTTCCCTGCAAGTTTCTGTGAAGAAATACAATTAATGTGTTTAAATAGCTAAGAAACAAATAAGAATAAATAGAACAATCATGGCAACCTTAAGGGGAATATTCAAATGTAGAAAACACCAGCTTTCTAATTTCCACAGCTTCCCTATTTGCATTATTAATAAACACATAATGTGGGGCCATTGGCACCCTGAGGCTTCTCCTCAGAACCGGAACTTTTTTTCTTGGATAGATAATGCCAGTTAACTACTTTGAATATATTTTCTTTTTTCCAAAATCACTTGTGTCTACAATGATTCCTACAAATCAGTGAGAAAATAGTAATTGACCAGGAAAATGTCAAAAATTTATCATTTTAAGAAAACAAATGTAAAGAAACCTTATACCAGGCCACAGGAAAGCAGTGCCCACTGTGCAAATCTCTCCAGGTGTTAGAAGGATAATGATGGTTAGAAATAAGAGGACTAGTATGGACATAGACATATTTGACAGGGAAAAGCACAAATCCCTGAGTAAGCAGTAAAATATTACCTCTCTAGTGGGAAAATGTAAAAAGAAAAGACAGAGAGAGAGATTAAAAGAATAGACACACACCAAAATAGTAACAGGAGTGGAAGAAAGGGTTCGGTGAGATTTTCACATTATATCCTTTACTGGAGGCCCAGTGCTGGAATTTGTGAAGGTGTCCAGGCTAAGGGGAGGAATGTCCCTCAGCCCAGCTTGTACCCTCTCCAATCTGGGACCCCTTGAGGGATGTTAAACTGCCCATTTAGACCCTCTCACAATCCAGCACTGCTGGCTCCAAATTGCTCACTTGCCTGCCTTCCTGATTGTCCCTAACCTCTTCTGCTGGCCTGCCAGATCACCCCCTAACCACTCCCAGGGCAGCCTGATTGATGCCTAACTGCTCCCCTGCCAGCCCGTTTGGCCCCAACTTCCCTCCTCTGCCAGTCTGGTCACCACTAACTGCCCTCCCCTACAGGGTTGATCACCTCCAACTGCCCTCCCTTGCAGACCTGGTCCCTCTCAACTGCCCTCCCCTGCTGGCTATCTTGTGGTGGCCATCTTGTGTCCACATAGGGGCAGGATATCTTGTGTTTTGTAGTGATGGTCAATCTGCATATTACTCTTTTATTAGATAGGATAGAGGCCTGGTGCATGGGTGAGGGCCAGCTGGTTGTCCATGAAGGGTGTCCCAGATCAGGGTGGGGGTTCCCTTGGGGTGTGGGGTGGCCTGGGTGAGGTTCCTTTGGGTGTGGGGTGGCCTGGGTGAGGGTCCCTTGGTGGTTTGCAGGTTGGCGATTCCCTCTGGTGACCAATTGGGATGCCCTGGTATCTGGGATATATTTACTTTCTACAACTGAAACTTTATAGCTGGAGTGAAGACAAGCCCTCTTCACTCAGGCTGTCACCATTTATGTTTGGTTTTATGTATCTTTTATAATTAAAACTTTGTAACCTGGAGTGGAGGCCTAGGCCTGCAAGGTCAGGTGGAAAGCTTAGCTTTCTCTGTTGCCTAGGAAACCCACTCCTCTTTACTGCCCTCTGTGACTGTAGCCATATTTATTGAGTTTATTTCCATACTGGCTCTGATGGGCTGGTGGGCGTGGCTGGTGGGCGTGGCTGGTGGGTGTAGCAGTGTAATAGTTAATTTGCATGTTGCTCTTTTATTAGGTAGAATACTTCTGTCACACTTAAAAACAAAACAGTAAGAATGTGTCCATGAATTACAAATGTTTAAAAGAAGTTGTTAAATTCCTGAGATTCGGTTTCAAAACACTATCTCTGTGGATGACTTTGAATCTTTAGTTTGTCCTCGTTACTCAACTTACCTATTCAGTTTACATATTTTTCAGAAATATTCAGATAGCTGCCTGCCCCTCTGTCCAGTGGGCATTTTCACTCAAATAGAAACCTTCCTGTTGCTTTAAGCTCACCCATGAAAGATGCCCAAACTAAGCTCACTTCCTCAGTCTGGCTCTCTTTCCCAACTGCTGTATATCTGCCTGTCATACCAACATCATTCTTCTCATCATCCAGGACAGAAATGATCAAGGGTCATATTTGATCTTTCTCTTTCCTGTACATCCCATCCCTGACTCCAATTAGCTACCAAACTTTGTTAGTTCTTCCTTTATAGAGTTCTCTGGATTTTCTTTCTACTCCTGTAATAACCAATCTGATTCAGCACATTCCCACTTGACTCCTAGAGTATAATATTTGGTCTCCCTGACTCAAGTCTTCCTCTCTAGATTACTGTAACTATGAAATCTAAAATAATCCATTTTTTGAGAGAGAGAGAGAGAGAGAGAGAGAGAGAGAGAGAGAGAGAGAGAGAGAGAGAAGAGAAAGGAAGAGGGATAGAGAGGTAGGAATACCTGTGAGAGAGAAACATCATTGATCATCTGACTCCTGCATATCCCCCCCACCAGGGATCAAGCTGGACCTTGACTGTGAATTGAACCAGTAACCTATTGGTTCCTGACTTGATTCTCAATCATTGAGCAACATAGGCTGGGCAATCCTCTTATTTTATTCTTCTGTCTCTCTCACTTGAAAGCTTTAAGTTGGTCTCCTTATATGTGCAGCTTTCAAACCTCTAGAGCTGATAGTCAAGATTTTACATAATAAAATTTTTCACTGCTTCCGAAACTAATTCTTTATAACTAGACTGGTCTATTTAGTCATAATCATTCCTGCAGCCATGCCTCTGCCTAATTTGTTCTCACTAATTTTTCTCTGTTTACCAAACCACAGCCATCCTTTAAGGCCCAGCTGAAGTTCTAGCTTATCCCTGACTCCACACCCCAGTCACTGCAGATTCTGCTGAATTACAGCTTCTCTGGCCTATATCTCTTTTAGTGCTTAATTATATATATCACCTCCTTTTTATGCATTTTGTCTTACTTCCCACCTACCACTGTCATGTTCCACAGTCAATTCCCTATTTCTGTGGCTTCACAGTAGTCACACCTCAGTTGGGCACAAAATGAGTGATTTATATTGACAGCCAGGGGGCAAAGATGAGTTCCAGATATGACTAAGTGGTCAAATACTAATAGTTAACAAATATATATATTAGCCTCTTATACAAGTACTTTCTATATATATTAACTCATTCAAAACTCACAACAATACTAAAGATGTTAACTATCCTAATCTTCATTTCAAAGTTGTGGAAATTGAGTCCCAAGACTAATAAATAGCATATCTGGCTCTAGATTCTTCTCTTAACCACTTTGTTGTTTCACCATCAATAAAATTCAAAGATGATCATGTTGTTGTAAAGAGGATGAAGCAAAAGTGGGAGGACAACAGAGGTTAAAGAATGAAATGAAGGGGCTAAAATCATGGATCAAGAAAAATAACATGGGCAATTACAAGTAAAAGACTGGTGAAATGGGGAACAATAGCATTAAGGAGAATAAAGATGAAGAATAGTTGTCAAAGGAGATCAAAACAGAAAGTCCTTCAAAGCTGTTTAGGGGGAGATGAGGAAGACCAAGGAAGTACTCAGGGAAAAGGCTGCCATGTGATCCAAGATGCAGAAAATAAGTGAGAAAAGGCAATGCTTACAAGATGGTGAAGGTGCCATTGTAGGTGCTGGTCTCTGGTACAGGTACTTTGCTCAGCTTCTGTTTTTTGCCAAAACCAAGACAGGACAGTGTCCCACTACTGCAGCTGCAGAACTTACAGATGTTCACAGTGGAACTCCTTTCAGTCATTGCTGGGTCAATCGCATCTGATTCATGCTGCTGAGCTATGGCAACTTTGATGTTGAAAGACAGAGCTGTGAACTGAGACAAGGTTGGCTTCAGAGAATGAACAGACTCTGAATATGGAAGTGACATTTTAGGGTGTTTTGGATGAGCAATAGTCTGCTGCTGGGTTACAGCATCAGTTACCATAGTCGGTTCAGGGGTGATGGTGAGTCCTCGGTCCAACGATGGAAGGGTTGGTTGTTGAGCCTGAACAGGCTGCGGACTTGGCCCCATGGGGATGGAGGTCAGCAGGACAGAGTCCAGGGACAACTCCGGAATCGGAGCTGCCTGGACCTGCAGCCATACCAGCTGCCACAGGCACAGAAACCTTAGGGCCCACATGTGCAGCCCGGACATGACAGTCAGAGGTCCGGGGCACAATGAGCCACCAAGGCGAATGGGGTAAAGACAGTGTCCCAGGATCCTGGGGCACGAAAAGCAATTCAAAGTAATGGAGCACGAAGAGTGATCCACAGTACAGGGGAACTATCAAGCAACCCAGACAAGTGGGATGCAAGTGCCAAGCGCTGAGCAGGTGCCCAACATTTGGCGGCGATGTCACAATTGGTAGCCCTGTCATGCATGTGCCCTCTGGAAACCAAGCACCCCCTCCCCCACCTCAGGTTCAAACCTTTGTTATTTTTGGTTGAAGTGACTATAGAAGAATGAGCCTTTTCCCCAGAATCACTCGAGATCAGGTGATTCTTTTCACCTGCTTCCTTTTAAGTACAAGCTGGCCCTCTCCTCCCCCCTCACAGTATGGTAGGATATGGACTTCACACTTGGGTGGCCCCAGAGCCCAGGAATGGGTGTGGCTGTTAAAGAAGGTGGGGAGTTGTGGAGGGGGTGGGAAGGGGGATATTGAAGAATTTTCCAAGAAAGCCACAGAGCCTGGCATCTCAGGAAATTCAGAAAATCTGGTCTTGTGTGGCTATCTGAGCTCCTCTTCAAAGCTGAACTCTGAGTCTTCCTCCCAATGGCCATACTGCTTCCAGGAAGAGTACCTGACCCACAAAATATACCAGTTAGATTGCTGTGCAATGGGACACACTTTACAGTTCAAAAATGTTGCCATTTCCTCTTAATTCTCAGTATCCATGTCTGATTTTTTGTTTTGCTTTGTATTCTTACCCTAGTTTATGTTTATTGATTTGAGAGAAGAGAGAAACAGAGAGAAACCTTGATGTGACATAGAAAGAAACATCAATTGGCTGCCTTCCTTACATTCTCCAAGAAAAGATCGACCTGCAATGTCATGCCCTAACCAGGAGTTGAATCAGGCCACAATGATGCACTTGGAGTTCAGAACAGTGTTCCAACTAAATGAGACACCTAGAGCGAGCTTCATGCCTGGTTTTTAATTCACCATCCTATTGCACAGGGGCTACATTGTGTAGTGATGATTCCAAAATGACTGTAGTTGGGGTTTTGGAGGGTAAGCAATTCATTCTGGGAAGGAGAGTCTGAAACCAAGTGAATACCTTTACAGTGGTATGGGAAAATGTCCCCCTCCCACCTTGGCTCAACACAGACATTAATCTAGAAAAGTAACAATGCCACTTTTCTGAGGTCTACCCTGTGTGCACATCAGGAGAAGATAGGTTGTTAAGGCCAGCATGTTAAATAATAATTTTTATAATTTAAAAAAATATATTTCTTTTATTGACTTCAGAGAGGGAGAGGGAGACGAAGAGACAGAAACGTCAATGATGAGAAAGAATCATTGACTGGCTACCTCCAACATGCCCCCCACAGAGGATGGAGTCTGCCACATGGGCATAGTTGGCCAGAATGGAACCTGGGTCCTTCAATCTGCATGCTGATGTTCTATCCACTCATCCAAAACAACTGGGGTTTTAAAAAAATACAGTAACTAGCATCCTATGTGCTTCCTTGCCAGCTCTTTTTATAATCTACTTTATTTTACTCCTTGTTTATTGTCTGGCACAACCTCCAGTATGTAAACTAAAAGAGAAAAGGGGCTGCATCTTATTTCCAGCATCTAATATGCAAGAATGGTTTCGTTTTATTATTTTTATTGTTATATTTATTATTAGTAGTAGTAGTAGTACTAATAGTAGTAATAGTAGTAGTAATGGTTTTTAAATGGAACTCATCCCAGAGTGTATCACTTGTTATAATCAGGCTTCTGAAAATTTGAGCATCAATACTAAATCCCATCTTTATGTATTTCTCAGGAAGACAGATTTCTTGAAGCCCAGGACAATACTAGAGCTTTTGCTTTCTGTAGTCTTCAGGAGGTTCCAAATTTCAATTAAGTATTCTCAGAAGTACCACACAGGCTAAATTTCAGAATTATTCTACTTCAGCACAAGCTGGGTGTATCAGTTGAATGAGCATTGTCCTATACATCAAAAGATTGTAGGTTTAGTTCCCTGTCAGGGCCCATACCTAAGTTTCAGGTTCATTTCCCAGATGGGGTGCATACAGGAGGTCATTAACTAATGTTTCACTTTCTTTTTTTCTCTCTTTCTCCCCCTCCCTCCCTCAAATCAATAAACATTCTCTGGTGAGGATAAAAAATAAAGAGTACAAAAGACTTGTGCCAATATGTTTACCTAATCAATGGCCTCCAAGTTTTATACACTGAAGCCATTTCTAAGCTATAGAGAATAACAAGTGCCTTTTTAAATGTTTCTTAGTTGAAAGAGCATAACAAATGCACACACACACACACACACACACACAGTGCTCGTCTTCTCTAGAGAATATTTCCTCACCTCGCCAACAGTATTCTGCACCTTCCTCTGTGCTCCTACAGCTTCTGAGCTACCTCCATCATACCACCTGTAACATGCATATTTGATCACTTCCCCTACTAGAGAGTGAACTCCTTGATGCAGAAAACATAGTACGCTTATCTCTGTTTCCATAGTAGATGTTCAATAAATACTTGTGTGATAAATGTCTAGAGTCCAAACTATCAGTGTGGGGTTGTTGTTATTATTATTATTATTATAGTGTCACATAATTGTTCTCATTTCCCCATTCACACCCAAAACCTCTCCCCATGTATTCTCCTATCCCCTGTAGTCTGTGACCACTGGATAGGCTCATATGTATGCATACAAGTCCTTTGGTTGATCTCTCCCTCTTTCCCCCACCCTCCCCTACCTTCTTTCTGAGGTTTGACAGTCCGATAAATGCTTAACTGTCTCTGAGACAGGTTTGTTCACCATTTTATGCTGTTCATTATTTCCTCTAGATGTGTGAGATCATTTGATATAAGAAATGCACTTATAAGAACCAAAAATGAGATCAGCCATAATGGTCATGCTTAGAGGCAAATGAATCAGTCTGTAGTGAGTTTCTTTCTGGGCCAACAGTTCTTTTGTGTCCCAATTTCAATGTCAAACAGTTCCTTAGGTGTACATGTCAGCAATGATATTTCAGTTCTGGATGGTGGACAAATGGTGGTGATGCAGGTCTTGGCCGACAGCAGCTGTCCTCTCACTGCAACAAGATGTGTTTGAGATGTCTTGTTCCAAGTGTGAGGGGAAGTGAGTATTTGATATCCAAATCCAGCCTAGTACCAGGAATGCTCAGGGTCTACTCAAGAAGACAAATAATCCTTTCCACTTATATACACTTGGTAAATAAGTTTGTTGTTAGAGTGTTGAGTTTGACAGTAGAAAAGTAGTCAACTTTTTAGAGTGATTTAAATTGGCTAATTGAAATAAGTGAATATTCTAGAAAAATTGATTGTAATGTACAAAAAACTGCTTTTAAAGTATTAACAAAAATTTTTATTGGCTGTTCATCTCATGGTAAAACTGCATAACTTGTAAAGAACCTAAAGCAGTCATATTTTCAAGCTAAAAAAGATTTAAAATCTATCAAGACAACATTATAAAATTTCCAAAAGCCTCTTAATATTTAAATCAAACTGTCAGTTTTAATGGCGAAGCAGGAGGGTTGGGGGGAATGATAGGTAACATAGACTCAGGATGTGAACTCCATTTAGTTAAGTAAAGTAAGAATGAACTGTACATTCTCACACTCTACTCAAAATGTGATCCCCAAGCCCTAAGGAGGTGATAATTCTTTTAGTTCCAAGACCTCAACCCCCAGACCCAGTGGATTTATTGCAAGGGATACTATTCTAAGACTTAACTCTTTCCAGTTTAGGGATGTGAGTATTGACAGCAGGAATCAAACCTGGTTCTAGGTAGCTCCAATGCATTCAGTGGGTCACCTACACTCTCACTGCAGGGAAACCTTTCACTTTCCCTTACTCATGGTAATATAGAGAGGTTCCCCTTCTAGATCTTTGACTGGCACTGTGCTCATAACTCCATTCTGGGCACTTTCACATCTTTTGTCATTTTGTCCCCCCACCCTCTGGGAGCTATAGGCAGGAATGGCAACTCCCGCAGTAATATGGCCTTGCAAAGACATTTCCTAATACTTTTTATTTTCCTCTGTATATCCTTATCCGTGGTTTTATCTGAACCCAGTCTGTTTGGTATAGGATAGGAAGCAAAACTTAGAGAATTTAACAGACTTGATCAAGACCTTACAGCATGTGTGTTAAGACCTAAGGTCTTCCATCTTATGGTCCAAAGAGGACCAAACTTCCTTAAAAGGTATGACCTTCTGAGATGGAACATACAGAGAAACTCTGGCAGTACCAGATTCTCAAGCATACTACAAAGATGCTGAGGAGCAGGAAATACAGGTGGCCTATCTTGACATTCTGTGTTTCATAGAAAGACAGTGATGAGATGCAGGAGTGTTGGGGAGAATATTGGGTGTTGGGGTTGAGAACACTTTCCAGAAGAAGGTGGAATGCCTAGATCTAGAATATTCCTTGCAAGAAACTCCTGAGCCTGGAATTCCAATGTGAGCTGGAGCATATGATAATTTTGCCAAGATGATAAACCAAAAAGAGGTAAATTTTTTGAATTTTGACAATATAGTATCCAAGTCACTTGGTGGATGTGGGATTGGAGATTGAAGAAATAAGTACACAATTATCCAAAGTGAATGAGGTTCAGGATGAAGTCTGGAGGGCAACAAATTGGTTGAAGTAGTTCATCAGAGCAGCCACACTCCAGCCCTCAGCCAGCCAGCCCCACACTTCTTAAAGTAGAAAAGACCTTCTTTGGCAGTCAGGGGCAGAACACATTGGCTTCAGAGCAAGTTAAATTTCTGACAGAAGTTTAAAGTGTCTCTAGTATTTGACGGGTTCAAGACAACCTTCAGGATCCTTCAAGAAGCATCTTATTTTCTTCAAAAATGTTTTCATACCTTTTTCTAGGATGGAACATCAGCAAGAGAGTAAAATAAATCAGTAAACTGTTATTGAGTATCTTCTATACGACAGGCACTATGTC